ATCCTTGAGATGGGTATCAAGGCTGGGTAGCAGTAATGGCTCGTTATATAAAGTGCTTTTTTATTTGTTTGTTTTTATATATATAGTATTTCAAGACTGCCCAACTTACCCACAGAATGACTCTGTGCATCTTGTTTGCTCTTAAGGTATAAATCCTGATTCGGTTAATCAAAACTGAAATGACTATACCATAATGTTTTGCATGTTACAATATACATTTTGTAGAAGGCATGCATTGTGGTCAGTAAATGTTCACTATATTATATTGTTGTGCCTTCAAGACAGTACTGACACCTAGTGATTACCTGGCAAGATCCTGCAATTTTAGCAAGATTTTTAGAAGGGGTTTTTCAGCATCTTCTTCCTAGTTAAAGGCTTCTAATGTAATCCTTACATCCATTATACAGTTTAACTGCAATATTTGCTTAGACGGCTTTGTGATTACATTACTTGTGGATTGGAAACATTGAGACCCTTCCTAGTAGATGATTTATCACTCTATATGTTCCCTAGACATAAATATAATGGTAGAAGTCTAAACTCATATTTGTTATATGCCCAAATCTTGTATTATGAAAAGAAATATTGATATGCTGGGGAAATACTCTCTTTATTTACTTTTTGGCTCTAAGTGCAGTGTATAAACTCAAACCAATTACCTTAACGTAATCTAGACTGATTTTGAACTGTGGATATTAATGCATCTAACCTGATTAAAAGATTTTCCTCCATCCGCTGCTTTTTGTAACACTAGATGAAGAGATCAGGATAAATCTGACCCTTTCGTGCTATGTTAATAGGTTCTGATAAAAGAGTACCATGATATCTGAATATAGAATCTCAGGTGTTAGTGTTTATGTGTAAGAATATTATAATGTAGCTGAAGCAGAGGCTGCTAAATTATATTAAACTCTCTTTTAAATTTTCCAAAGCAAAGTTTGAAAGTGTGATGTATGATTATAGATTTTTTAATGATGGTTTTATTGGTAGAAATGCTAAAACACTTATCAATCAGGCTTCTAGAAAAATTCCATTAATATAATCACAGTTTCCTCCAGAGTTTCCTTAAAGATGCTGAAACAGATGAGCATGCTATATTTATGTTACTTTTGTTTTGTAATAGTGGACACCGAAGCAAATTAAAAATATAATTAATGTTTGATTTACAGGTTAAGAATTTTTAACCAGCTGGATGATGAACTGAATTCTCACCAGCATGAATTGCAATGGCTAATGAGCAAAGCAAAGCAAATTGCTTTAAAAGATAATCATTTTTCTCCAACAATTGACAAAGCAATTAATTGTTTGGAAGCAACTTGGAATGATACAAAGAAACTAATCCAAGAAAGGTAAGTTAGTTGTATATTTATTTATGTGCCATTATGTAAAGTTTAATTCTTGGTTTTATCAGCCTATTAATCAGCCTTTAAAAATAATATATAAATCTGATGTAAAATCAGTATGCTTATATTTGGGAGCATAAACATAACTTTTGAGGCTTAATACAGTATATTGAGAGATATACTTCTAGGACAAAGAAAACAATATACTGGAAAAGCCTGAGTAGACTTCCTTCCCTGCTTTATTTTTCATCTGGGAGTAGATAATAATGCAAGCAATACTCAGATCAAGTAAGTTGCTAATTGCTTAAAGGTAAAGGTTCCCCTTGCACACATGTGCAAGTTGTTCCCGACTCTAGGGGGTGGTGCTCATCTCTGTTTCAAAGCCAAAGAGCCAGTGCTGTCCGAAGACATCTCCATGGTCATGTGACCAGCATGACTAAACACTGAAGGCGCATGGAACGCTGTTACCTTCCCACCAAGGTGGTCTTCTACATGCATTTTTACATGCTTTCGAACTGCTAGGTTGGCAGAAGCTGGGACAAGTAACGGGAGCTCACTCCATTATGTGGCCCTAGGAATACGAACCGCCGATCTGCCGACCTTGCTAATTGCTTACTGTAATATAATTGCATTACCTTAAGTCCTGCTATGTAAACGTCAGTTTTCTAATGCCATACATGGATTGTAGTAAATGTCTCATACTTGTGAAAGTATCAGAGGAATGAAGTTATAATCCAGTAAGAAATGTTACCTATCAAACCACTGTCAGTTATCAAAATATGTTCTGGTGTCAATGTCACAGTGATTCTTTCCTTTGCAGGCAGGAGCAGTGTTGCATCCTTCTTGATATTATAAGACAGTATCACAATCTGAGAAGTGCAGTTTCTAAGGCAATGGAGGTTGCCAGTGCTGTAACAGTGGCCAAAGCCGTGCTAAAAGACCAGAGAGATGTGCGAAGGGCCTTATCAAAGGTAGTTTTAAAATATCTTTGTCTTTAAAAAATGTTTGTGGGATGCATATTAATTTCTTAATCAATTCCTTAAATCTTCACTTTTGAGGACAGATTTTTAATTAAAATGAAATGTGCAGCAGAGGACAAATGTCAAGTATTCAAATCAAAATTGAGGTATGTTCACAGAAAAGAACGCTACCTCCAAAGTCAAACAAACTGGGTATTCACATGTCAAACAAACATGTTGGTGAATGAAAATCAACTTGACTGTCTTATCCCCTGGTATAAACCACAGCAAACAACTCCCACAGCAACAGAGGTGGTATTCAGCAAGTTCTGACTAGTTGTGGAGAACCGGTAGTAGAAATTTTGAATAGTTGGGAGAACCGGTAAATACCACCTCTGACTGACCTCGCCCCATCTATTCTGTGCCTCCCAAATCCCAGCTGATTGGGAAGAAATGGGGATTTTGCAGTAATCTTACCCTGGAGTGGGGAGGGAATGGAGATTTTACAGTATCCTTCCCCTGCTGTGCCCACCAAGCCACGCCACATCCACCAAGCCACCCACACAGAACCAGTAGTAAAAAAAATTGAATCCCACCACTGCATAGCAAGGAACTCCCCTGGTTATTTAGGCCTTTTTAAAGCTTCTTTGACTTCAAGTTCTCTTAGTGCCTCTGCTTTTCACATCCTACAATGCAGGGGTGGGTTCCTGCTGGTTCTAACTGGTTCAGTAGAAGAGGCTCCACAAAACTACCGTGCCGTTTAGAACCAGTTCCAGCGCCTGCCCTGGCCACCTCGCTCCTTCCCCCCACCCGTCTGGTTGCTGCTCGATCGCTCCCCCTGCCTGACCACATCACGCTTGCCCCGCCCGCCACTCACTGATTGGCTGGCTCACCAATCACCCCGCCTGCCTCTAAGAGCCCTATCTAAACCCACTTACCTTTTTTCCTGCTTGGCTCTCTATTGNGCTCCCATGGCCTAATCGTGTTTGAACAATGAAAAAAAATTCTTGAATATAGAAGACTTATAAGATAGCCTATTGTTGGGATGTATTTATTTATTTATTCTGCCAAAAATCAAATTACATTAGTAATTTGCCATTTTGTTTCCCATTTGTCCAGTTGAAAAAAATCCATTGGAAATTATTCGAATTATTTTTCTAATACCTTCAATAAATATTACTGTTATTACTACTATATAATTATTCACCATGGATTAATTTCTTACATGCATTGTTTAACAATGTAGATTGTTGTAGTTTTCCTTTTGGAAAGTTAAATACAAAATAAAAATTAGATATAAAGTCTCTTCATATCTATTTGCCTTCTCATCATTCGTTACCCTTATAAATTTATGTATTTGTTTTACTCAGAAAGTGCTAGACTCTTTTAATGAAGGAAAGGCTAAACTGGAGTCAGCCTGCCAGGAAGGAGAAAATCTGTGTACTTACTTGCCTAAACCATCTGTGAATGGTATTCAAGAACAGATATCTAAAGCTCATCAGGACTTTGAAGCATTTCTAAAACAATGTTTGAAAGATAAACAATCTTTGGAAGAATGCATTGCAGAGTTGGAAAGGTAAGTTTCAGATAGCCATATTTTATGTAGTATATAGATATGTTCCTTATGTTATACCTAAATTAAATGGAAAAAATACAAAATAATCTCAGTAAATACTGTGCATTCATTCTACTATTTCTGTCTGGCCCTCTTGATTTGTAGTTTTATGATACAATTGGAAAAAAAAGGAAATAATGGCCAACACAACGGCAGTGTGAATGTTCTATAAGATTTATTATTACATTTTTTGGTTTCTAATAGTGATTTAGAAGGTAATATTTTCACTAAAATAATTGATCTGTGAGAGAAGGTAGTATTGATCAGAAACACTTAGAAAGTTGCTTTCTAAGTGAGATATATTGCTATCTTTCTTGCATCTGCTATTTGGAAAGGAAGCTCCCACTTTACAGAATCTCTGTATGAACCCTAGTTAGAGCATTCCACCCATCAAATGCACTGGAGGAGGGAGACAGGGCTGTTGGTGATTTGTAGTAGAGGAAGCTGGCTACTACGCGGAGGAGAGCCTTTTCAGTGGCAGCTCCGACCCTCTGGAACGATCTCCCCGTGGNAACCCTGCTCCAAGAGGACATTGTTAAAGTGAGTTTCTGTCTTTTGATCCCCCCGTTACAGGACTACATAGTCGCATGACCCCACCAAGCCACACCCACAGAACCTGTAGTAAAAAAAAATAGATTTCACCACTGGTGAGATGATAATCATCTCTGCACCTTCGCTGGACAATGTGGTGGATGGTCTGACCCAATGCCTAGAAGCTACTACAGTCTAGATGGGTAAAACTAGACTCAAACTAAACCCAGAACAGCTGATTATGAGTGATGCCCCTCCTTCATGACATCCAGAGGATCCCATCCTTGCTGGGCTTCCAAGGAGTCTTGATGACATTTCTTTTTAGGAAAGCATTGGAGACAATGAAGATGACCCTGCCTTTGTTTGGTAGTGCCATTAGGAATGTTTGTTTTGTAGATTATTATTATTTTAATATATTTAATATGATATTTAATATGATAATTATTTATTATTATCACTTGATGTAAACTATTTAGAGCTCTTTGGAAATGAGTAGCTTACAAACTATAATGGACAGAATGAAATGAAATGCTTTCTTTCATTGCTTAACAGGTTTCAGAAAAAATTGAAGACAACATAGATAAGTTGAGTGTTAGCGTGACTTTGTGGGAAGACATACTAGCCATCCGAGATAATATTGAAGGATGGTGCAATAACGCCATCTCTCAGTCCAATGATATAATAAACAATTTGGCGAGCTGTCAAGGAACTGAAGTTTTCTTGGATGAATTTCAGGTGCCATACTTTACAATATTTATGATTTTCAATTTTAAATTCTTAGCACATGTTAATATTAGGAGAATTGAGTATAATATGATTAGATATTCTAAGCTACGTGCTTATATTTTTGTAGCAGAATGCCCCTAATTGTAAAAAAAAAAAAGGTTTAATGAACAGTGGCACATTGAAGACTTCTGGAATATGCAGTTCTTCTATTGGCATATTACAGAATAACAGAATAATAGAGAAATCTTCTAGTCCAACCCGTTCATAGTCTGAAAACCCTATACAATTTCAGACAAATGGTTGGCCAATGTCTTCTTTAAAAAGTCCTGTGTTGGAACACTCACAACCTCTGAAGGCAAGTTGTTCTACTGATTCTTCTAATTGTCAGGAAATTTCTCTTTAATTCTAGATTGGTTGTCTGTTTGATTAGTTCCATCCATTGCTTCCTGTCCTGCCTTTGGATGCTTTGGAGAATAGGTTGACTTCCTCTTCTTTGAGGCGGCCCCTTAGATATTGGAAGACTGATATCATATCACCCTAGTCCTTCTTTTCATTAAACTAGACATACCGAATTCCTGCAACTGTTCTTCATATGTTTTAGTCTCAGGTCCCCTGTTGCTTTTCTCTATACTGTTTCTAGAGTCTCAACATCTTTTTTTATATCACTGTAGTATTACAAGTGTGGTCTTACCAAGGCATTACAGAGTGGTACTAACACTGTTCTATTTGCTGGCCATTCAAAGTTACAATAGTGCCGAAAAAGTAACTTTACAACTGGCCTCTACACCTACATTGGTTGCCATGTTCCTGTGGTAATAGAGATTCAGATTTTTTGCAATTGTCAGCTTTTTATGACTGTTGCAATATCCCACAGTCACCTCATTGCTATTTGTGTACTTCATAGCCAGTTCCCAACAAGCAAAGTTAATGAAGAAACCAGCACTATAAAATCACAAGTCACAGTCAAGAGATGTCTCACTTAACAACCATCTAACTTAGCAATTGAATTATTGGTCCCAATTGTGATAATTAAACGAGGACTACCTGTACACAGATAGGTATAACTCTGCTGTATTTCTTTCAGTTGGAGCCAGAGTATACCAGGAACAAAATATTTATGTTTGTTATATTCTAAGTGCTATCTTTTAAAATTTCCTTACCTGAATAATGGCAAATAATGTTAACATATGACAGAAAGGGAGACATTCATTTCCCCCATGTGTTCCTTTGCAGTCTCAGCTGAAGCACAAAGAAGAAAAGTTGGAGCAAATGACTTTGAACATATATGAGCTTAAAAAATTGGTAAATTCAGAAGAACTTCCTCCAATTCTTCTGGTAAGATAGGCTTTTCTGATTGAGGGATGTCAATCAGGAAATCAGGAGTCCAGAAAGTTCAAATGAATATAGGTTTACTGTATACTAATGCTCTCTACATGAATCTGATCTACTAAAGGTCAAAGGAAATAGGCGGTAAATAAGACTCAGTGAAATTCAAGGTGGGTCGGACTTAGATCGCTTGTGAGTGCAAAAGGACTCGAGGCCGATGACATATTTGACCCCTCCCTTGTGTTCTGTCTGGTTATCTCCTACACTGGGCATGGTTTTGCCCTGAAACCTTTTTCTCTGCAATTTTTTAGAGTGGTAGAAAAATGGGTTAAAAGACAAAAGAGAGATGTTTCTGTAAGAGTTCAGATATGTAAGCTCTGCAGAGCTCAGGCATTCATTTAACCCTTTAAAATTTCCCTAACATCCCTAAATTAGAAAAAGTATAAGTTGTTCATCCATTAGATCAAAGGTGGTGTTAGGCTTTTGTAATCTGCAATTTATTTGGAGCACTAGATAAAAGCATTCTATTTGATAAGCATGGTTTAAATCAATAAAATATTTTTGTTCCATTTAAAATATTATATTTAAAGACAGAATTTATCCATTATGTAATCTCTTCTAAGACATAGCTACTGATTTTGAATCTTCTATTATAAGTGGCCTTGTTGTGAAAAATTTTCCTTTAAAAAAAGCATTGCATGAAATAATACAGTATATGCATAATTTCTAGCATTGTAATCAAATTTATTTATACATTTATGAAATTTATTTGTCACCCATCTCAGTTCCAATGATCCATCTCAAATACCAATCTGGAAGCAAAATGTGAAATTTAAAAATAAAGGGGCAGTTTTTACATTCACAAAATCTCTATATTTAAGAAATTCAAAAGTGAAGTAATCAATACAGCTTGTACATAATTTAATTAGTGTTCCACACATACGTATTTGATTACAAAGAAGTACAAGTGAGCTTTAATGTTTTTCCACTTGGTTTAGGATTAGCAATATTTATAAGTATCTGTAAATTTCTAGGTTTATAGAATGTGCTATAGAAGTTGATTTCATTGTTTGTAGAAAAAAAATAAGGGTTCAAAGAAGAAAACTCTCTTCTTTGTTTTCAGGAACATTTCAGAGTGACTTGTTTTCCCATTCCAAATTTTTATCAAAAATAGCGCTGAAGTTAATGACAAACCACCAGCTTGATAAACCATTTTAATGCTATGTGGCAGAGCGGAGAAAAATAATATAAATATAATATAAAAGTATTCTATTTTTTATAAAAATATAAAAAATATGCATGCATGATAAAAGACATTTTATTTGTGGACTGAAAAAATATGCTACAGTATTTGATTAATAACCATCCTTATATTATAAAACCTATTTTTTTTAAAGCCAGGCCTAAAAATGCCCCCCCCCCCAAATTCCTTTTTTACTTTTTGTGGAGTGGTTTATCTATTTTTTTGCATTTCTGCAGAACAATTCAAATACACTTTATTGTCATATGACTCAGATTTATAAATGTATTTTGGAATAGTCTTTATTATTATTTTAGTGTATCTATATTTGCTTCTAGTTTTTAGATGCTGATTTAAAGAAGAAGATAATGCATAGCAAAACAATGTATGAAACAGCTAAAGAAACTTTGAAAGATTTTAATTCTCAGAAGACACAGTTGTATAACTTTGTTACTCAGATGGAAAACTGGCTTGTCAATACAGAAGAATCATTATTAAATTGCATTCATAGTCAGGTTCCATCAGATATTGGGACAGTCAATGTAAGTAGCATAAAAAGAATAAATAGACTTGTTGAGCAAATTGGAATAAAAATATGGGGCATTCACTTTGTTATCAATCCCTTAAAATAGACCTTGTGAACAAACTCATGATTTGAAATATTCATCCATTAGAAGTTAATTGTCATTTCATGGGAAGAAAAAAAATGAGGTCAGAGTTCAACTGTCTGTGCTGAAAGCATTTAAAATGTCCCAGATCACATGGCTGTAATTAATGTCTTTTCAACAAAATGTACTTACCCCCCAAAAATACACATTTTGTTTTTGTATGTGAATTTCCTCAATCTCCAAGAGAAAATAGACTTTCAGACTGAAATAATTAAGAGCACTTGAGAAGGTGTTCTTCTGTTCACATAATATAGATAGAACAACATGATCAGGACCATTCTTTAATTAACTATGCAATACTTTGGACTGCTTGAGTCCCCCCCTCCCCCCAGATTAGGGATTATTCAATTTGTGTTTAGTCCAGTTTTGCCCTGACTGGAAGTTTTAGCACAAAGAATTGAGACTTCGTTATCTTGAAGTTTGGCAAAGGTGATCCATCAACATTTCTCTTAAGTTTCTAAGCTTTGACTATTATATTCCAATGACTTCCCCTATTTTTAGTTTTTCTTCTTGGATGAGAAATGAAATATTTTCGAAGGAAAAAACCAAGAAAGTCCCGTTGCCTTTTGGAAAAAGCACCTTCGGAGCAACCATGACCTGGAAGATTGAGCATCTCCATAGACAGTCAATAAAACAGTTTTTAAGTAATGGTCCAATGTATTTAAATATTCTAATGATATCATTGTTCCTTCAGAAAATACAGAAGGAGATTCGCCAACAGCAGAACAATTTTGATTCTACTCAGGAAACGCTTAATGGCCTTTGCCGCAAATATCCATCTTTGGAGTTGGAAACTCTTGCAGGCACTATAACGTCCCTGATAAAGAAGTATGAATCTTTGAACCAGCTGAGTTTGAAAACACAGGCTTCTTTACAGGAGTCCCTAGAAAAACATTTCTTACGTGAGTTCTCTTCATAGATATATGAATCATCTAGCCCACAGGAATGTATGCTGGAGACCAATATGCGAGTATTAGAATAAAGTTTCCATTTACATCATGAATTAATTTGGGGACTAGGTTTCCCTACAACTCCTGTTATAGAAAGTATATTTTATAGATATTTCCAACTCCTCTCCTGCTTGGTTTCACAACAGTAATTTAAAAAAAATAACCTTGCTATTACTAATAATTTATGGGGCAAACACACATTTGGGGCACATTTTATGTATGCATGGATGTATGTGTTTTCAGTGTGTAAGCATATATACAGGTGTCCATGGACAAGTTTCCTTTCTTTTTCTGACAATAATCTTTCACTTCAACTATGAATTGCACAATTCTATCCTGGCTACTTAACTTCTTATCTTGGCTTCTCTATTCCTTGTTCTGTATTCCTGAGATCATCTTGGTCTCCCTGGCTTCCTGTGACGTTTTTCTCTGTCCTTATCTTAGACTAGCAGAAATTAGATAATCGTATTCAACTTTATTTTCATTTTGTTCTATTTGTTATGTTTGCAAAGGTACAAACTGCAGTCTCTTGCCACCTTTTCTATAGGCTTTGTGAGGTCTTGTGAGTCCAGAATCGTTGTAGTTTTATATTCTTGGTGAATTTTAAGTATGGAATGTATAAACCAGTGTTACTGTTTTATATGATAATCCTTGGTATCTCCCTTTTTTATAAAAAGAATCTATGGAGGAATTTCAAAACTGGTATTCTAATCTGAAGATTGCAATAAAAGATATAAATATTGCAACTGGGGACAGTAAAGCTATTGAAGCAAAACTCCACAAACTACAGGTAAGAATGCAGGAATGAATGAATTGCACATTGCTTGGCTTGCAAACTTTTCTAGATAATATTAGGAAATTATTAAGCAATTTTTGTGTGATTGATATATGTTGTCAAACTACTATCTTACAAAGGTCAAACACTGACTTTACATCATAATGTGCAACAGACAGTATGCATTATTAATGACCTTTTATAATTATTTCATAGAATTCTGACCCAAATTAAGAGTGTTGTTCAAAATCTTTTAACTCTCTCTCATAATATTGGTGTTGTGTACAGACAGTTTGGTTTAGGGGTTAAGGAACTAGGGTAAAGCCTGGGAGACTTAGTCCCATCTTCAAGAGGAAGCCAATTGGGTGACCTTCAGCCAGTCACTCTCTCTCAGCTCTAGGAAGAAAGCAAAAACAAATCATTTCCCAAAAATTTACCAAGAATCTGCAGGGACTGGTTCAAGCAGTTGCCTGGAGTCAACTCTACCATGAAGTTACAAAAAAAAAATAATACACCAAAATCTCACCAAAATTTCTGGGTTTTTAGACACTTTCTCATAATTGAAAAGTTGTACATTAATAAATGTTATCTATATAATTTCAATTATGGTGTATTAGTTGTTTTATAAAACTTGAGTGTAGATACTATAAAAATACATATTTGATTGGTAAAATCAAAATCAACAACCCACAAAAATAATAATAGTATTAGCTGTTTTTACAATGTTAACACTAGTCAATTCAATCAATCAATCAATTTATTAGATTTATAGGCCGCCCAATCCCGGAGGCTTACAAGAACAAGAAAAGAAAAACAAAATAAAAATAAAAAATAATTTAAAAATTCCCCAACACGCATATGTTCTGATCGGGGCTGTACCCTACAAAATAAGGTCAACAGCACTAGCCCTGCCGGAACAGCCAGGTTTTAACAGCTTTTCTGACGGCCA